AAAAAAAAAAAAAAAAAAAAAAAAAAAAAAAAAAGACGGTCGTGTACCGTCCCCCTTACCCGAATTTGACCCGACGAATAGAAGGTCCGGTGCTTACCGCTGTATTTGGGCAACTTCCGGTCTACATACAGCAGCAATGACTGGGAGTACTATTCGGGAGACAACGGCCGGTTGTCACGGAAGTGGGCGTTGGGAGTGGTTATGGGTTTTACTAGTATTACCGTAGAGCTACCTCCTTTCCCCCGAATACAACGTAACGGTCAATATAGCGGCTCTATTTATACTGGAAGATACCGGAAATACAGCAATATAATGACCGTACGTTATATTCGGGGGAAGAAGGGGTTAGCAAACATGTTCAGCTGTCTGCAAATGCGTCGAAGGCAAAAAAGCCTTTCATTTTAAGCGCAAGGGAAATTCATTTTCAGACGAGAGAGAAAAGCGTGCGGTAGTCCAATGACAGACTGACCTCCATTTATTCTCTCTTTTCATACTTCGTTTATCCTACCCCCTCCAACCCCCCGGTACACTTCGCTCGAGAGGAAAGCGAAGATTGCATCGCAAAGACGAAAAGAAAAAGTAAAAAGGAAGGGTGCATCGCATGCCCCGCTCAAACCTAATGCAGACACTATTTCTCACCCCTTCTACTGAGAGCCTAATCAAGCGATGTGCTGCTGACGTAAGAGTGGCTCTCCCGGAGTATACTTATTTCTTGCTCGAGTATAATTAGTAACCTCCCCTTTGGGTAGACCTATTTAAGAGGGTACATCGCAAAGGATTCTCTGCCCAAGCGAAGGTCCGGGGACAAATGAATCTGAGCCACCTCGCACAAGGTAGTCGATCAAGTACGAGAAATAGGTGGAGCCCCGCCGAGGGCGTTACAGGTGCCTGCTCCTACCTGCTGCACCCCTAGCATCAACTCGGGTTGTTTCTTTTTCTTTTTAATTCATAAAATCAAATTTATTTATTTATTTATTTATTTATTTATTTATTTATTTATTTATTTATTTATTTATTAACTTATTTATTTATTTAATACCTTGTTAACCACTGGTGAATACCTTTGTAATCATCAATTAATACACTCGTAATACGTAAATCAAGGTAAATGTTTATGGGGCTCAGCGGTCCGGATGGAGTTAGTCAACACGACTGACCCCTTGTGGCAACTCCAGCTCTGTATGTAGCCTTGGGCACCAGGCCCTGCTAATAAAATTGGTTACAAAAAAAAAAAAAACAACGAAAAGAGCAAAAGGAACTTTTCTCCTCGTACATTACGAGGACAATCCTT